TCAATTTGTAGCTCATGTTAAGATCTACAACTTTACTTAGAACATCAACAAACATTTACTTGAACTCGAACTGAACTTTTGATCTGGTTCAAGTCTGGTTCAAAGTTTGAACTGACTTTTAATTAGTATAAATTTCACCAATGTTCTGACCCAAAGGCAAGATCCAATTTCTTGAACTGTCGAAGGCAGTGGTTGAGGTAAACGATTCTTCTGAAGATATATCTTCATCATCATCACCATCAGTTTCTTGTGAGAAATCATCATCATCCTCATCTTCATTTGATGGTATTAAATTTAGAGAGATCAGTTTTTCAATTTCGGTACCGTCAGGCAATATATTCCTAAAAAAATTAATTTGATTTACCTCTTGTAAAAAGTTAGAGATAAAAAATTAAATTATATCCTAACCTTATTCCAGAATGGTAATTTCTTTTTTTTCGTTTTTTTATAACAATGGGTCATTTGTCCCTCATCATCCTAAAGGATTAAAATGCAAAATAATTAGCTCTGCTAATTCTCAAAATCTTTGTCATCATCATCGAGATCTCACTATTGCTTTATATCAAGAACTTACTGAAAAAAAGAGATTGGTTATCTTCCTTTTATTAGCAGAATCTGATGGTTCATAATAGTCTTTTACACTTTGTCTATCATTACTCTCATCAAGTACAGCTATAAATTTCAATAAAGGCTCCTTTTTTATTTTTTCAGTTAATTTTTCTTGAAAATTCAAGACTTGGTCGCTCACATTTTGCAAGATCTCGACCTTATGTTTTTTCTGCAATGCAAATATGAAATTAATTATACCCTCGTAGTCACAAAAAAGGAGCTCAGTAGGCCTACCACAAGTCACTCAGTTTGTTGCAGATTATGTATTTCTGTTCGTTTCATTTCTGCTTTTTCTTTTTCAAGAAAAGACTAACTAATTTAGTATGTGCACTGAGAATGTGAAAATTATGTATTCAAAAAAAGCATACTGTATCGACATTTTTAGATCAACAAGCTTGCAAGATAACAGAAATAATTGAGACGTTAATAAAAAGTTTTAATATTATTGATTTGTACAGATTTGCTTGGTTGTCACTATACAAGTTAGAGTCATCAAAGAAATGATACTCAAGGTTCAGTTTGACACAAAAAATGTACTCTCTAATTATATCCCTAAGGCAACAAGATAACTTGAAGTGGAAATGTGGCACCTGTATAATTTTAGACGCATTGCCATAATAGATTCCGTTTAACATCAATATTTAGAGTGGAAGAGTATCTCATAAATTAAACACAAATCTTGTTCTGTTTAAGACTGAAAAACAAAAACTTGCCTTTGATTTGCATTGTCTTGTTTAGCATGTATCCACTATATCACTTGATATGCATATGCATAAATAATTCTTTCAAATTTTTAAATTCTTTACATCACATGATATAGCTTTTGTTATAGCTGATATATTACTTTGTATGTTATTGCTATAGTACATAATGATTTTGAGCTCTATTTGTTATTATCTTGAACAATGATTTCCTTCTTGTGAGTTTTACAGTTTTGTTTTATTGTTACCGTTTTACTTGGGTTTCAAATATATTATATTTTCTTACGTGCTCAACACGTGTTTCAAGTCAGGTGGAAGAGATAAGATAAATAACTAAAGATTGATGACATGTATTCAATAAATTATTAGTCAGCTAAAAAGTGACTTAAGAAATCTTCTTATAAATTAATGTATATTTAATAATTATGACGATAGTTTATAGACAAGTAAAATATTATAAATTCAATTTATTAAATCATTTTAACAATATGACATTACAACGTGTGAGAGGTCCAAACTATAAATATGACATTACAAACATGTAAGAAATCATCAACATAACATTACAACATGTAAGAGATTATAAATATAACATCACAAGAATGTGAGAGGTTATAACAAAACTAAAATAAAACTTTAAAAACTTAAAT